TACGGCAAACGCGAACGCAGAAATAAATTTAAAGACTGGGGCCAAGGATACTGCGGACGGGCGATGGCAGATTGTTGATTATGATTGTGAGGACCCTTGTGGGGAGGTGAGTGCGTGAGATTTGGACGAGGACCCAGTTTCCAGTGACCAGCAAGGCAGCCAAAGTGGTCCAAAACGCGACGGTTGAGCAACCCCTGTCGATGTCGATGGTGTCACGCTGTCCACTCGGGCGGTCTTTTGTCCTGGTCGGGCCAATTCAAGCAGCAGCCATGCTGTCGACAACAAACAGGGTACATTCGTAGTGCTCACGATGAAAATACAAATCAAACGGTCGGCGGGGACGTGTGATGAACAGAAAGTGGCCGAATTGGGCAGCGAGCTGAGTCAACCATGGCAGAGGGACAAGGGAAGAAAAGAGGCATGGTGTATGGCATCTCCGTGCGTAGAATAAATCGTGATGTTGCGAGAGAGGATGTGAAGAAAACGAGAGAGAAAAAAAAACATATACGACGTAATGAGCCTCGAGTGACGACCTCGGGAACACAATGAAAAGCAGGAACAGCAGCCCACAGCATGCACGACGGACACTGTCACCGACCGTGACAATACGCAGAATGCGAGATTGCAGGGATCGTTGCAGGTTGCAGCAGTTCGTCGTAGAATGAACAGCCCAAGGCTGTGTTCTGGCAAACAGGCAACGTCTTTCAAATCAACAGGCGGCCCTTTGTTAGCCCCCAACATAACACGTTCCCAGCGATGGAAAGGGGAGAGCGGGGGAGGAGAGAGAGAAAGAGACAGTAACCTGCAGATGAAGGACCGACAGGTCAAGGACCGACGATCAGCAACCGAGAGACCAATGCGCCTCGAGCGCCTCATCCGAAGCTGCTCCGTTACCAACGAACAACTGCAGCTAGAAGCTTCCGACAGGACCTAGGAGGAGTCGTCTGTCAGAAAGTGGCTGAGCTGGCTGGAGCTTCGGCCCTGGCATCTTGTTTTGGCAGTCAGCCGCAACGTCTTTGACGTGGCTGGGCCGGCTCGCCATTCGTGGACAAACGACATTGTCTTTAATTCGTACCGTGTTGTGCCTCGTTGTGCCGTAACTCGTATCTGCCACTCGTGCAAAGCAAACGCGGGGTCCTTTGTCGAAGCCGATGCGCGATCCAACGTGCCGCACAAACGTCGGCCCAACGTCTTGTTCGTCGTTCGATGTACACGGACGGCGCCCCCAAAGAAAAAGAAGCTCCTCACTTGCAGCCTGCATCCCCGCGGTTGACGTTGACTCTTGGGAGGGTGTCTTGGCCGTCGCGGTGGAGAGCGGTGTACAAACGTCCGTCGCAAGTCTTGCACATCACAGACCAGAGACCAGAGACCAGAGACCAGAGACAGGACTCGACTCGGGTTTCCCCGCTCATTCAACGCCATGGGCCGTCACTCTGTTAGTGGTTGGCGTACGAAGTCCTCCGTGCAATGTAAAGTGACCGTGCAGTTTATTGCGTATTGTCCTTTGACCTGCTCGGGCAGACCGAGGCATTGGACGATCGTGAGACGTCGATACAGAGACTGGGAGACGGAGAGACAGATTAACTTGCAACGCCCTGCCGCTAGTGCATGTCGTAATTACGCCGCAGGGCAGATGGGCGCCACTCAACCCACGCACGCGCACGAAGGAACGAACAAACGTGCCTTTAGTTGTGCTCCGCAACTCGCAGAATCACCGATCCCCGATTGTGGCGTTATTAGGGGAAGGCTGGGAGGGCTGGGTCTCGTTTCTCGTGGCCGTGTATATTGTAAGGCTATCATAGGCCCATCTAGGTATTTCGTATGCTCGTCACTTGTTGCGTCAGAGTCTTTTGTTTCTCGTTTCTCGTTTGACTCGTCTCTCTCTCTCTCTCTCTCTCTCTCCCAAAGGGACATGGAGCCACAGAGGCTGCGCCCTTCTCCCCCGTCAGCTTTTACTCTCCCGTCTTGCCGATCGCTGTTTGCTGCAGAGGAGACCGAGGAGCCGCGCAAAGAGAGAAAACGAGAGACGATGACAATGTACAAAGTGCGTTTCTCTCCACTTTTTGTTCGGAGGGGCTGGCGCGCCGCCAGGGTCCCTGGACGATTGGTGTTCTGTGGTTGGCTGTTTTTCGAGTTGACTAACTAGTTGCGGAATGGTCCATCCGAGAGGTCGACTTGGGTTGCATTCAAGCATGGGTGTGTTGTCAACTGAAGAGGAGAGGTTGAAAACAAGGATTGTCGTCGTGGACTTTTTCCTTTTTTTACACCACAGAAAGGCAGGCACTTCCAAAGTGGGCAGGCGCGGCGGGGGGACCCTGAAGAGGAAGGCGCAGGGCTGAGGTGGCCAGCAGTCGCACCTGCTGTTGTTGCGTTATGTCCATCGGACAGCGTAAAAGGAAAGTACGGAAAGGAAAGTACGGAAAGTACGGAATACGCAGTACGAGTACGAGTACAACATACAAATACACATACAAATACAACGAACACATACACATACACAAAACATACACATCTTAGACTGGAGCTTGAGCAAACATAATTTGATCGTTGCTGGCACTGAGGGACCTCGCGTCGAAAACCTTATTTGGGCCTCAACGGCTGACCAAGCGTGTGATGCCAATGCTGTCGCAAATCCTTCCATCCCACCCAAGACGGGCAGATGCCGCCTCACTCGTTATTCCTCTTTCTCGCCTCCATAGGACCAGCCGGCTTTGGTCTGAATCGGCTCGGTGGGCAGATTGGCGGTGGAAGGCAGCGATGGAGCCAGCCGTCCAGTGCAGATGCAGCGAGACGATGACGAGCAGGGAGGAAGAGGCACGAGGAAAACAAACGCGAGCGTGAGGCTCTGCTGGCATAACGCAAAGTAACCGAGAAACGTACGATGTAAACCATACCCTGGCTGGGATTTGCCTGCCCCATTGCTGAAATGAAGCTGCAATCCTTCCAGGGCAGTGCGCTGGGACGAGGACGCGGACATCTTACTTGCATACACCGTGAGAAGTACCTCCTGTAAAGTACAAGGTAAAAAGCATGACCACGGCAGCCAAAGGCCCACGGCTCATTTACTTTTGGGTCTTTTGTCTTTTGCGGGACACGACCGACACGACGGAGAAGGTGGTCAGACAGGAAGGATCGGGCTGATCGTGTCGGTCGTGGAGCATAAGCTGACGCATTTTGTACATTCTATGTCAACGGTCGTGAAAAGAGCTGCTTTGTAGAAAAGCAAGAAGGACACTTTTGACAGGACCGTTCATATTGTTCCATGGCCAGCGGGAATGGGCCGCAAACAGCATGGAAGGAAAGGGATGTCTGTTGGTGATGAAATGGAAGAGAAAAATGAGCACAAAAACAGACCAACACCGCCAGGCCAGTTTAAACTAGGCCAGGAACGTTTCGACAAAGAAGCGCACGAGTTGGAGTCAACGGAACTAAAATAACACGGAGAACTGACTGCCACTCAAAATACAAATACAACGGCCAGGCGAGGAACAGCCCTGTAAGCAGCTCCATCACCAACATCACCAACATCACCAACAGAGGCCGTCTCTGTCTCTCCAACCACCACTCTTTTTTCTTGCCGTTTCCGCCACTTTCTCACCGTCACCGCTGTCAGCCGCACGACTCGGCCTTGGACAGCCCTGTGAGGCCCTCGAGAGTGGTGTCCTGCTATCGAGTCCTGCAACGGTACGAAGGAAAGGCGGGCCATGCCTGGTAAGCTTATGCTCTGCTTCGTATGCGACTGTTCACCGCACGCCGTAAATAGTAAATAGTCCCAGGAGAATGGTCACCTGGCAGGCTGGTCAGTCTCGGACACACATTCTTGTACAAAGTAGCTCTGGAGTGTTGTTTTGTTTCCTCGTCTTTCTCGCTGTCCTTTCCTGTTTTCCCTATCCTCGTTTCTGCACATTGGCAACGGACTCCATCATACAAGCTGCATATGGGTCACCCACTCGGCCTCCTCCGCCATCCACCCTCTCCACTCTCTTCTTTGCAGCCACATCCTTGCTGCGTCTCCTCTTCCACTCTTCCACTCTTCCACTCTTGGTTCCGTCTCGCCTACGAAGGACATGTTACTTTGTGGACTGCTTTCTGAGATGAGTCGTGCGTAAAGTGTAGCGTCCATTATGTAGTTTTCTTCGTCCGCTGTGCTTACGATGCCGCCCTTTACGAGCTCCCTTGTGTCTACAGTTCCTTATCCTCGTCGCCACCGAGTATGTTTTCTCCTCTGCCTTCATCCCCTTCCCTTTCCGTCTCTTTCAGAGTTTGCCTCTTCCTTGGCCGCCACCCTTTCTACCCCTTGCCTCTTGTTTGCTTTGTCTGTTCCCAGCTTCGTAGCAGCCGTTTTGGCTTTCATTTGTCTTCGTTTTCTGTTGAAAACCCACCCCCAGGATCTACCAAGTATGCACTGCGTCCGTCGTGCATGGGCCTCGCTCGCTGCACTTGCACGCTTGCAGTGAGATAATCCTACCCTGGCTGTCGGCCTGTCCACTGCCTGTTGGCCCTGTCTGCAACCCTGTTTCAGTCAACCTGAACGCCTCTGCGCCTCGGCGTTTTACGAAGTAATACATTCCCAGTTTCTTTCTCTGCCTTCCCTGTGCCCTACCTGCCGCCTGTTGGTATTTTCTACCGTTTCAAACTCGATACGCGACGTCAGCTTGTGCTTTGTGTTTGTGTGCTGCTGTGGTTCTGTGCTTCTGCGCCTCCATCGCATCTCAGCAGATCGCGATCCCTCCATCGACACTCCATGTCCTGGTGAGAACCTGTTCCCAGTGTGTCGGGATTTATTGTTTCATTTTTCTTCTTTTCTTCTTTTCTCCTACTATTCTTTAATTTATCTTTTGTCCTTCACACCAGTCACATTCATTTCGTGCCTACCGCCATCCTCCTATGCGGCATCGCCGCGAACATCTGTGAAACAGGGCGGACCCTGTCCGTCTACAACCACGTCCCCCCCCCATCCCTCCCGCCCCCCTCAGTCACACACATCGCTCGCAGCCATCATGAAGTCCTCCTCTCTCCTCACCGCGACCGGCTTCGTCGCGTCGGCCGCGGCCCAGGCGTCCGGCTGGATCCCCGGGCAGGTCAACGCCTCCATGTGCTACTGGGAGCAGCCGCGGGCGGCCGTTGTGCGCGACACGCTGTACCTGGACGGCGGCAGCGTGGTGTGGATTCCGGGCATGAACGACAGCTCGTACGGCCCCGTGACGGCGGACCAGAACCCGCTGGGCATCGTGTACACGCTCAACTTTAGCGTGCCGTTTGCCGTCGCGGACAACCTCACGGCCGACATGGGCGTGCTCTACAAGGTGTCGCCGGGCTCCAACGCCAACAACATTGCGCCCAACTACATTGACGGCGCCATGCTCGCCAACGACGACGAGTGGTTCCTGTACGGCGGGCTGCTCAAGTACACGTCGCAGTACAGCCAGCCGCCCGGCGACGCCGTGCAGCTGTACCAGGCCGACCGGTACGGCGTGGACCGGGCGTTCCGGCCCGGGTTTCTAAACGTCGACCTGCCGGCCAACATGACGCGCTACGTGGCCTACGGCGGCGCCGCCAGCGCGCCCTCGGAGAACAAGGCGTGGTACTTTTCCGGCCTGCGCAGCCCGTCGTGGGGGCCCGTCTACACCGTGTCGGGCGTCGACGGCCTCACCGCCATCAACGTCTCCGACACGCTCATCACCGTCGACATGGCCACGCAGAACGCCGAGACGTGGTCCAACAGCACGCTGCCGCCCGCCGTCCGCGGCCGCGCCAACCCGGAGCTCGTGTGGGTGCCCGTCGGCCCGCAGGGCCTCCTCGTGGCCATTGGCGGCGTCGTCGACCCGCAGTGGGTCGCCGTCCGCGGCAGCTCCTACAACGCGTCCGCCAGCCGCGCCGCCAGCCCCGCGTTCCTGACCACCCTGGACGTCTACGACGTCGCCGGCAAGACCTGGTACAAGCAGCCGACGACGGGCGGCGCCCGCCTCGGCCAGCGCACGCGCGCCTGCTCGGTCGTGGTCGCCGCCGCCGACGCCTCGAGCTTCAACATCTACTACTACGGCGGCTTCGACGGCATCAACGTCGGCGACGCCTTCAACGACGACGTCTGGGTGCTGTCGCTGCCCTCCTTCACCTGGACCCAGGTCTACAAGAGCAGCGACGCCGCCGCGCACGCCCGCGCCGGCCACAAGTGCTTCGCGCCCTACCCGGACCAGATGCTGGTCGTCGGCGGCTACACGCCCCAGGCCGGCGAGGCCGCGGGCTGCCTGGGCGGCGGCATCGTGCAGCTGTTCAATCTGTCGTCGGCGACCTGGATGACCAGCTACACGCCCACCAAGTGGTCCGCGTACAGCGTGCCGGACGCCGTCGTCAGCGTGATTGGCGGCAGCGGCAAGGGCGGGGCCACCGCGACGGCGCCGGCCGCGGCGGGCGGCTGGGCCGACGCGGGGCTCAAGGCCGTCTTTGCCACCGCCTACCCGACCGCCAAGCTGACGACCTTCTACCCCTACCCGCTCAACGCGAGCGCCACCACCGCGCCCAACAGCACCCATCCGGACGCGCCCGGCGCGCCGTCGGGCGGCGGCGGCCACCACACGCCCGCGTTTGTGGCGCCGCTCGTCGGCGTCATTGGCGGCCTCATTGTGCTGACGGCCGCCGTCGTCGGCGTTTTGCTGTACCGCCGCCGGCGCATCCTCATGTACGGCAGCGCCGGCACCCGCAGTGGCGGCCGTCGCTCCAGCCGCGGCGGCACCGGCCCCGTGGGCGGCAGCGGCCAGCCCGGCACCGAGAGCGAGGCCACCTACGACACGGGCCGCAACTTTGTCTTCTCGTGGCTGCGCGCCCAGCCGAGCGTCAAGCACGCCGCCTCGACCCCGGCCGCGTCCTCGTACGACGACCCGAACAGCAGCGCGGCCAACCGCGGGCGCGTCCAGAGCTACGGCGGCCAGTACAGCAGCAGCACGCCCCTGTCGCCCGAGATGGAGCAGCTGCAGGCCGCCCATCTGGCGGCGCAGCATTCGGGGAGCGGCGCCGGCGGCTACGCGGCTGCGCTGGCGGCGGGCGCGGTGGGTGGCGCCGCTGTTGCTGGCGCTGGCGCTCCCACCGTCGAGGCCGACAACACGTACATTTCCGAACTGATTGCCGATACCAAGTACCGCGCCGAGCTGCCCGGGTCGTCCGATTTTGGGTCCGTCACGACGGATGCCAACAGCAGCAGCCGCATGCTGCGGGGCGGCGCCACCTACCACAGCGTGCCCACGTCGTCCGCCGAGCTCGAGAGCCCCTTGGTCCCGGGCAGCCACGTCGCCCAGCACGGCAGCACCTCGTCGCTTGGTCCCGCACCGCAGCAGCAGCCGCCCGTGTTTGCCCGCGCCGACTCGCCCTCGCTCGGCCAGGCACCACGGTTTCCAACCCAACAGCCTCCACAGGAAGCTGCTCAGGAATCTGCTCAACAGCCTCCTCAGGAACCTGCGCAGCAGACGCCGCAACGGCCAGCCCAGGCACCAGCGCCAGCAGCCCCGCGCTCGGTGGCCCGCGAGTCGGGCGTCTCGGATCTCAGCGAGCAAGACCGCCGCCACCTGCGCCAGGGCAGCGAGGGCGGCCAGTCGACGACGTCCGGCGTCTCCTCGGCCGTCGGCACCAGCGGCTACCAGCGCAACAGCTTGAATCTGAGCGGCGCCGTCTCGCCACTGGGTGCGCAGTTCCCGCCGGCGGTTACGGGTGTTGGCGGTGTTGTCGGCGGCGCCACCATCCCCGAGGCCGACGCCGGGGCCGAGGCGGCGGCGGAAGCGGCGGCCCAGCCGTCAGCACCGCCGGTACAGACGGAACAGCAGCCTCCAGCGCAACCGCAGTCACTGGAGTCGCCGTCCCAAACGAGTCTGCAGGGAAGCGGCGGTGACAGTCCTGGCCAGTCGCGGCGAAGTGCCTTTCGCGAGAGCGAAGCCGACTTGAGGGAGTAGAGACAAAAAAACAAAACGTGGATATGGTTGTTGCGTTGTTTCTTGTCTTTTCTTGTTTACGATTTCCGCGTTACTCATTTGTCCCCATGAGCATGTTCAGCCCTAAAATTAGCATACTTTGTAATGTTGCATTGCTTCTCCTGTCTACTATTTTGTCTTTTTTTTCACGTATATGTCCGAAGCAATTCCAAAACACGCAGTGTAGCTTATGAGAATATATGACCATGTACTTTTAAACATAAAAGTCGTGCTCGTTCAAGACATTTGCAGGTGACATTTGTGCACAATTTCAAAGACCTCCGTTGATATCACTTTGCCGGTTTATTGGAACAGAAACTTTAAGGAAGCAAAAAAGAGATTTTTTTCTATTTTTTTTTATAAAAAAAACTGGTTTGAAGAATTTCAAGAAAGGACACTCAGAAAACGCACCACTATGCGAGACTCACTTACCTGTCTACCAAAAGGCAACCCTGCGCCGGCTAATCGTCTCTCCAGAGAGGATTGGCTTGGCTTTTGCTCATCACCGAAATGGACTACGACCAACTACGAGGCAAATTCCTACGAATCTACAATGTTACGACAAAGTACTCGAGAGCATCGCGTCGTACGAGAGATTACGAGGAGAGTGGACAACGGCCCTCGGGGGTGGACGAATCCGTTAGGCGGTGTACTCCGCGTCCGATTCGTCCTTGTCCCCCTCCGACAAAGACACGTCCGTCATGTCGACGTCGTCCTTTTCGTCCTGTTCGTCCGTGGCCGCCGCGAGGTTGGTCTGGCTGCGCCGCGTCATCCGGTGCCGCGGCACAATGACCGTCTCGCCGCGGCGGGCGCCGGCCTGGACTACCACAGACTGGCCCTGCGAACGGGTCAGCATGCCATGCTGGGACTCGGGACGCGGCGACAGGGGCGCCTCGCCGCCGATGCTGTCGCGAGGCGCACCGCCCGTGGCCACCCGAATCTCGTTTTGGATCGGCCGCTGGTTCAGATTGTCGACCGCCTGCATCCGAGCCGGACCACCACGGGCGGCGGCCATGTCCCGCGGCTGGAAACGGTCGTTTCTGGCCTGGTCGTTGAGGGCATTGTTGATGGCATTGATGATGTTGTTGATGTTGACGATGTCGATGATGTCGTTGATGTCGATGTCGTTGTTGATGTCGAAGTCGTTGTCGTTGTTGTCGTTGTTGTCCATGTCACCATCACCGTGTGCCGGGGCCGGAGCAGGCGCAGGCGCAGGCGCCGGCGCCTGCATCCGTGCCGGCCCGCCGCGAGCGGCGGCCATATCCCGCAGCCGGAAACGGTCGTTTCTGGCCCGGTTGTGGCTCTGGTTATTACCGTCGCCGTCGTTGCCGTTGCCGTTAACGTTGCTCATCTTGGCAATGAATCTCTCTACAGAAGAAACGTAGAGGAACGTAAAAACGAAATCGAAAGACGCTGACTGGAGAGATGTCGATTGCGAAGAATGAGCAGTTGAGCGGTTGACAGCTAGTGGTCGACAGCGGTGTTAATGGCAGTGTTGATGATGTTTGGTGTGATGATATGGGGAGGACGAGGAAACCAAATACACACCAAGACGTCATCTTGGCGAGACTTATATACGAACGACGAAAGAACGGCCATGTTCACCTTGAACATGAACAATATGTTCTTCTGTGGGCATATCGTGGACACATCGTGAACATATCGTGGTATTCTTGTTCAAGCCCATATCGTCAGGCGTCCGAGTTCATGAACATCCCAGCAATATGTGCTCTTGTTCGTTCGCTGCACATTTTGCATGGCACAATCTTCGTTCACTGCCCAGCCAGCTATCTTTGTTCTCGACTTTCACTTGTCCATGCCACTTTCAACCGTCCAAAATCAATATTGCAAGAGCGATTGTTTTAAGATTTGGAAACCTTTTATTTCATTGAGTACTTTTCGCCAAACAAAGGAAAAAAGGGATGAGAGTGAGATAGAGAGGTAGAGAGAGAGAGAGAGAGATAGTCGACATGCGAGAGAGAAGTTTGGAAAACAGAGAAAAAAAGATGATAATAAAATAAATAGAGATAAACAACGGGGGAAATAGGGAACTAGGATCGGAAAGACTTTGTGCCAGAAATACCAAAAAGAAAAAGAAAAAAGGAAACGAAGCAGCAACAGAAATAGATATGAAAAAAAAAAAATAGATGAAAAATGAAAAACATGAGACTCGGCTGGTGAGCAACTACGAAGAGCGTCTAGAAATCATAGACACGCAAGCGGAACCAAAAGAAAAGAAAAAAGGAAGAGGACTAAATAAAATCGACAAAAGAGCCAGTGAAGATGACGCTTTCGCATTGGCAGCGTCGCATAAGAACAGCCGCAAAAAGGAGAGTAGCGAGCGTGCGGCACACGAGGCTAGGGCGGTAATGGCACCCAACAGCCCCCCAGCCGTGCTTTTCAGAGCGGCTGGCAGCCCATACTGCAGGACTTTCCAGTCCAAGTACAGTCGTCCGTGGTTCTCGAAATAGAGCTCACAATGCCCGAATGCATGTTCTCGTCGTCGCCGTTCGAGTAAGTAAAACGTGTTGCATCGTTTTGCTGCCTCCGACTCGCTGTGCCGTTCGCCGCTGATGGGTGTTGCTTGTATATTTTGGCGATTGCCGTCGTCGTTGGCGTCGTCTTCTGCCAGCACCCAAACGTCTGCACTGTCGTCCGCACCGAACACGCATCACTTCACCCCCCACCATTCACAAAGCGCCCCGTCGTACTCTTTACATCAGGATGCACTTGGAGCAGCACCCTGCCTCGGTGTCGTTGTCGCTGACCTCGATCTTGTTAGAAGGGCCGCCAACGTTGGACGTGCCGCTGCCAGTGGAGTAGCCCTGCATCTCGCGGTTGTACCGTCTGATCTCGCGCACAATGTCGTAGAATGCCTTGTCGACGTTGATCCGGGACTTTGCCGACGTCTCGATGAACTTGCAGCCGAACGATCTTGCGAGCGCCTCACCCTCTGTACAGTTGTCAGTTGGTTGCCGATGCGCCCCCGGGTCGTTTCCAGAATCCACATCTAGCGGTCCATCCACGTACCTTGTCTGGTCACCTCGCGTTCGGACTCGAGATCGCACTTGTTGCCCACCACGACCATGGGAAAGTAGTCCTTGTCCTTCACACGCAGAATCTGTTGCTGGAAGGTCGTGATCTCCTCAAAGCTCTGGCGCGACGTGATCGAGTAGACGAGCAAAAAGCCCTCGCCTGTCCGCATGTACTGCTCCCGCATCGCCGAGTACTCCTCCTGGCCGGCCGTATCGAGCACGTCGAGCAGTGCGACCTCATCGTCAATGACGCACTGCTTGCGGTACGAATCTGGGGGAAGGAAACGAAAGTCAAGTTAGCGACGTTGTTCGTGGTTCGCGCCACAGGCGCATCGCATGGGAAAAAGGCGAAATGGACAAAGCGCGCACCTTCAATTGTTGGGTCGTATTCGTCGACGAAGTGGCTCTGGATCAGCTGAATCGTCAGGCAAGACTTGCCTACACCACCACCGCCAACCACGACGAGCTTGTATTCTCTGAGGAACTATGAGTGGTGAGAAAATAGAATGTTAGTCAACAAGGCTTGCGAAAGATAGACGGCGTGTTCGATAGGATTGGCTGGAGCTTGGCGCTGCCGGGGGTTCTAGGTAATCGATAGGAGCAGAATGATGGAATTGGACAATCGCGCAGCCGTGCCTGCATCGCGGCGCGAGACGGCACGCAGCCGCGGCACAGGTTGCTCAAGAGGGTAGGGAAGGTTGTGATGGGATGTGGTATGGAGTATAGAGGAGTGCCGAAAGACGGATTGCGGGTGGTCGGTGCTGTGGAGCTTGTCAAGTGAAGCTTCATAAAGGACGGAAAAAAGGGGGTGGTGTCCGGAAAATGCAAGCAAGCAAACGGCGCGCAGAATCGTTGGGTCGCCGGGTGGTCGTACCTTCGATGCCATTGTGATGGAGTCTGTTGCGTGATTGCACAACAGAGGGATAAGGGGGAGGAGTAGAGGAAAAGAAGACAAGAAACTGGTAAGCGAGTCGAGTCGAATCGAGAGAGGAAAACGATGCGGGCGGTTTCGACAAGTCAAAAGCGAAAGCCGGAGCAAAGGTCAAAAAGGCGAAAATAAAAGCAGTCGAAAAGGGGCGAGCAGTCTCTTTCGTCGTCGAGAAATCGGATTGTGTTTCTTCGCGGCTTCTTCGAAAGTCGAAAATTGCTGGTGTCGAAGAAGAGAAAGCCGGGATGGATGCACGATTGCAGAAGCGTGGATAGAAAACAACGGTGGTTGGGGAGTGTAGTTTCTCTCGTGGTTCTCTTTTTGGAAAAGGGCAAAAAGTGGAGGGGGAGGAAGGAGAGAAAGAGACCAGCCAGAGGTGAGGAACCGGCGATCACTGTGTTTTTTGCGAGGTTCCTTATATTATCCTTTTTTCTTTATTTCGATTTTCTGGACCCGGGGCGGGTTTTTTTTCAGGAGGCCAGGCCCGAGAGAGACAGTAGAAACAGCAAAAAGATACGGCCCAGGCGGTGTCTATGGGGAAAGGTCGCCAGGGTGCAGGTGGTGGGTTACTGGTCTTGGGTAGTGCTTGGGACTGAGGGTCTCTTGAGTCTAGACAGAGTTGGGACTAGTTGATGATCAATGGCAACAGGAGGGGAGGGGCTTCGTGTTTTTGGGCTATCAGGGCCTCCCTGGTCGAACTCCTTTTCTTGGTGAGTTTTTTTGGTGTTATTTGGTGATATTAGTAGTATTGGAGGTATTGGTGGTATTGGTGGTATTGGTGGTATCTTACTGTCGGCGGTCGGGGGCCAAGTGAGACTCTGGAGGGACGATCGATCGAGACGAGGATGAATTGATACGGTGGGGAGGCGTTGGTGGTGACGAGAAGCAAAGAGTAATTAAACTGTGAGGCTGAATAAGAAATAAGAAAAGAAAAGACCAAAAAGGGAGGGGGAGAAAGAGAAAGAAAGTGAATGCGACGAGGCAAAGGGACGATTGGTGGCGGTAAACCTGGCCTAGGTCTGTAAGGGGATGCGGTCGATGGAGGTTCGTGGAGGCGAGGAGTGGTAGACAAGGGGGAAGAGATGATGTCAAAATGTGATGAGAACAAACAGAACAGAAACAGAAACAGAACAAAAACACAAAACAGGAGTCTTTTGCTCAAGAAACGAAACCAAAACCCAAGGAGGAAGTCGCGAACCAGCACCGAATCAACAGCGACAGCTACCACACTGGGGAAGCCACGATTGGATGTCCCGACTCACAAATCAACCCACAAGGAAGGCAGGAGACAGGAGACGTGACGAAAAGGGCAAGTGCAGGGGGGGATGAGGCCAAAAGGGGGGGCCGGCGCCAGAGCACAAATAGGGTGTGTGTGTGGGCGTGTGCGTCCAGGGTTGGTGTGGTAGTAGCATGGGCGGGCGTTTGCAGTCTGTCGGTGCTTTTCTTTGGTCTCGTTTGGTTGGACTGGGCGGTGGCCGCGCCGAACGTCAAGCGCTCGCAATGACCGCATATGCACCCTTCTACGAAGTAGCCATCCTGCCATCCTCCCTGCCACCTTCCCAGCAACAGCCCACGGACCCACCGCTCTTGCTTGCTTTTGCAGGGAGCTTCTGTGCTGCACGCTGCACGTTGCCGTCGTTCTTTCCCTTTTCTGTCGTCTGGCGGACGGGGTCGACCCCAGCGTGCAAGTGCAGCAGGAGCGATTGCAGCCGGCAAGTCATGTGCTCAAGGTAAGATGAAGATGGAGCCATTGCTGTCCGAAAGGCTTTCAATAATGATTTCGTATACTCAGTATTAGCACGCCTCCTTATTCATGAATCGCACGGCCTGGGCAATGATAACTGTGTATGGTGTTTTGTGGTGTGTGGTCGTGGGGGAAGTGGACTAATTGAATGGGCTGCGGCCAGTCACATGTATTAGACTCCGATAAATATCGCAATGACTCTTGCTACCAAAGGAACCATTTCTACTCGGCCCAGAAGAACCGTTGCATGGAGCCAATACGCCGGAAGCGATGACGGTGTCGTGTCCGCCGGTCAAACACGGAGCTACGATGCCATATCTTACCGCTACTGTGTAGCTAGAGGAGCTACCGTGGGCCCAATGCAGTCAAAGGCACCATCCATGCAGCCAAAAAACCACGCTAACTACCTGTGTGCAGCTTGGGAAACCGGGGTGGTTTTCAACTGTGTTTTCGACCTTTTGCTGGGCGGGAGCGCAGCACAACGTTTCGTCGTATCTTTTTCTACGAATTACATTTCCCCGGCAAGCTAGGGAGGACGACCACAAGCACCAGCCTGCAACTCGTATGCGGGGAGGGGGTGATGGAGGGACCCTTGCCTTGCATGGCGTAGTGCGACTGGCAAAGTCACCGCACACAATTAATCGAATAGGAAAAACAAGGGACGACCAAGAACAGCCAATCGCCATCTGGCAACACAATGTGTGACGCTGACCGGCGGTTGGCGGCAGAACATGGTAGACGGGCCGGCGGCAAGAAAGAGAAAGGCTAGAAAGATGAAATAAAAAAGAAGTGGAAGAGAACAGAACCGGCGAGGCCAATGGGAGCAAACGAGGACGATGATGAAATAAAGTTTTGCCTTTTGCCTCTCCGACTTACCTCTGCCTTCGTTCGTTCGCTCCGGATCTCCAGGAACAAGCTAGGAGCTACCAGAGTCTCAGTAAGAGAAAGATAATGTAAGATACCAGGTGTCTTACGGGGCCATTCGCACCTGTTGCGGTGGAACCTTCCGGTCTTCACCTTCTTTCCTTTGCTTTTACTGCCTTTCATAGGCCCCAAAGCCAAGCGAATGTTACAACACCGTGCGGCTAAGATACCGTGTCCACAGTACGTGTGGTAGAGAGACAAGACAGGGATTGCCAGAGACGGTTCCGGGACGAAAGGGAAGGAGCCGCTGAACATTGCCTGGGATCATTGTCTGGACTGCCAAAAAGACAAAACGAATGTCCTCGCGACATCCGGCGCCCGACGTACATCGTACGGAGCACGGAGCAAATAAATAACGTTAAAGTGCCATCCAATCAACGGCTGCCCGTTGCGCTCGTCGCTTTTCCGCCCTCTCTGCAGACAATCTGCACGTCTGCATGCAGTGCACGTTGCTGCACGGGCGTCGAGCCGTGCCCGGCTCAGTGCGGCGTGCAGTGTAAGGGCTGTAGATGACTGTGGATGACGATGGACGCCGGCAACCACAGCTTCGAATGTGAACGTGACGACAGGTACGATGTGCTCTTGTACGCAATATACTCGGTACAGAGTACATATTCGAGTCGAGCACGTCTAGATGCAAGCGACCCTGGACACTCACTGTCCATCAAGGAAGGAGGCAAAGAGGCGAGGCAAAGCAGTTGCCATTTGTAGGAATTGTGTAACCGCTCTCTTGGGTAGTTCCTGCCCGTGTTTTGCCAAAATGCCTTCCTGCCATTTTAGCCATCCATCGGACTAACAAACTATATAGATGGAAGATAAATATGGAAGGCTCGCGGTGGTTTATTTCAACACCTCCCCGCTTTGCGAAGAGCAAAAGCAAAATACGTCTTGCACTCCCTTTGTTTCTTTCGCTGGCATCTCTTTGTTCAAAGAGGACGAATGGAAGAATCAACTGTGTTGCCTTTGGTTTGCTCCAAGACGGCCGCCGCAATCTTGCCTTTGCCCCAATGCCCATATTGCAGAACCCACACAGACCACAGACTGCAGACCACGGGATGCTCGTTTTTGGGAGCAACGGCGTTCGGTGGAGCCACACGGAAGACAGAACGACGCCAAAATGATGCAGAAAGATGTCGATGCTCTTAACAAAAGCTAAAGACAAATTCAACATCGTCAACTGCAAGTGCCGTGGTTCCTGTTGCTGATTTGTCTGTTGAGATCAACATATGGTGGCGACTCTATTTATGGGGAACGGCGAGGCCGGCCGTCTTGTTGATGTTGGAAGATAAGATTACACTGACTTGGGTCACACTATTGTACGACCTGTATGATTGCTGATTCGTTGTCGTGGATGGCCCAATCGAGCCAATCCGTCGAAACAGGCCTGGTCAACGTCTCTTGGGCAAGCTGAAACACATAGCGCCCACGATCCTCCGCCAGCGATCGGCGCCAATCCATGAAGCAGAGCATGCCGGAGTGCGACACTCCAACGTGTCGACTGCGTGAGCGGCATGCCTCTTGCCAAGTCGGGACTTCACGGCCGAGCGCGGTCATAAAGCGGCAACGTGCAAATCATGAAATGCATTTACCTTTCGGGGCTCGGAAATTGAGTACAACAAGAATGGATGCAAGACGAATCACCCGTTTTTATCTTCCCAACGCTTATTATGTGCAAAGGACTCCGCACGTCGTGCCCAAAATCTCCCATCGTACAATGAGCAGTGCCCACACCGAACAAGTAAAACAAGACACCGGCCAACCGACCTTGACACATGAACAGCAGATCACAAGCAAGACAAACCCGGGTCAAGACCACACTAGCACATGAGAAATGTGGGACAACACGAGAGTCGACGCCCTCGGGAATAGAGAACGATTGACATTGTGTGAGAACGATTATACTATTTTGCGCTCAGGCATTGTCCTAGCTTCGGATGGTATTCTTTGCTTGGCCTGGGCGGATATCAACTCCGTACGCACTTCAGATCACTCTACAACGTATGAAGTATTGTCAGCAGACTATGGGCAGCCAACCTTTTTTGTTTTCGTTTGTGCTGGGTTAAATTAGGAAATGGAGGGTGTGGCACGACAAAGAAAGAGTCAAAAGGCACCCTCCAATGGCCACGCCGTGTTCGGTTTAGCTCGGGGAAAACGCCCCCCCTTTCAACGAGATTAATCAAAGGAAGGTTTCTAGAACGAATTTGAAAAAAGGGGGAAAGAGGGACGACAATCAAAAGAAGATACGACATGGTACGGAGTATGTCGTATGTCGTATGTCGTACAATGTAGAGACACTACGCCCACGCCCGGAAATTGGTCCACGGCGTGGCCGGCCATTTGAAGAGGACGAAAGCAACGATCGAAATAAGGTTTGCACTTTTTGTGTTCCCTGCAGGCTGTTAATAGGAGTTATTTGCACAACCGGGATATAGATTTGATGCATCGTCCGTACGGAACTACATTCTAACATCCAGACCGGCAAGGCGCGGGCAGGTGAACAGATAAATAGGCTGTGCTAAATAGAGTCTATTGCTTCTGGTGATCCCAAGGGGAAGGGGACGAGGCGACTACGTACGTCAACCGTGTCGGTTGGTGGTTTCATTGTCCATTCTCCTCGTTGCGTGCCCTGTCCCTCGTCATTGCAGCGGATCTGGAGAGCCAAAGGTGCTGATAAGGGTGCGTCAACATGCGGGTCCAACACCGGCATCCCCGCTGGCAGATGTTCGCTGCAGTCGTGCTGTAGCGGGCTCAGGCATGGAGGTGATGTCCAAGAGACAAGACGACGAAATCACAATGGACACATCTCCTGTGATGGACATTACGTACCCAAAAAAAGATACTGTGCTGTTCGCTCGACCGTAGGCAACCCCCCGTGCTCAATGTTGCAAGAACGCGGGCGTGGGGGTCATAAGTCGACCGACGCCGTTTTTGTCCAGTATTCCGTTTCGGCGCCTTCCATGGCCATCCGACCTGCTACAGCATCGTCTGTCTTTTCCCTTGTCGCTTGACTTGGTCCAGCATCGGTTCTAGTTTGGTGTGTGAAACATGGAGGTATACATCGTATGCCAACTGGGATGCATCCCCACGTGCGGACACAACGTGGTAAGAAGCGACGCTTGTCAACAAGCCCCCTGATCCGGCAGAGCCCATGCCGATAATCCTTTGGTTCTTGTGTTCTGGTCGGCCTGGGCCACATACCGCTGCTTTTGCATGTTTGTCATGTTTCATCATGTACACGTACGCAGTTCTTTGCTCTTTGCTCTTTGGTGCCGTACAAATCAGTTGTCCAGGAAGGCCCAGCCACACAGGGTCATCTTGTTTCTATGCAGGCACCCGTACGACATACGTCGCAAGACCAGTGGCCTCGCATCCCGGCCGTCATGCCCTCGCCGCCCGGGCGCCGCGTGTCTGCTCCCAACTACGTCTCGTCCCCCGACTCGTCGTCCTCGCCCTCGACCGAGATCCGCCGTCCCTGCACATTCTCCACCACCTCCGCCACGAGACTCTCCAGCAGCGCCGCGTCCTTGCCTACCAGCGTCACCGTGTTGCGCTTCCGCTCCCAGCGCGGATAGCTACCGACCTTGACGCCCTGCGGCTCGACGCGCGCGGCCAGCGCGGTGAGGTACGGCGCCACGACGCTCTCGGGCAGGGGTGTCGAGATGAGCACGCGCGCAATCTGGCGGCCCTCGAGCCTTGGCAGCAGCAGCGGCGTCAGGTTGTCGAGCAGCATCTCAAAGAGCCGGGGCACGCCCGGCAGGATGTGGACGTTGCCGTTGACGACACAGACGGGGACCCACAGGTCCTCGCGGGGGAAGACAAACTGCGTCTCGGCGGGGATGGCCGGGTCGGTGGGCAGCTCGACCATGCGCAGGCGCGCGCGCAGGGCGGGCGAGTCGACGTCCCAGTCGACGACGGGCTGGTTGGGCCGCGGGCGGGCAATGGAAATCTCCCGCATGCGGCGGTAGGCCTCGTCGTAGAGCTTGATCTCGAGGCCGAACGCCTTGGCGATGGACGGGTACGTAATGTCGTCGTGTGTCGGCCCAATGCCGCCACTGGGCGTGTCAGATGGAACTGGGCTTCATCGCATCCCACGAAACGGGCGAAGAAACTCACCTCGTCACGACAAAGTCATAGTTGTCGCTCATGCGCCGGACGGCCTCGATGATCTGGCTTTCATCGTCCTCAATCACCTCGACACGCTTCAATGACTGCGGTGTGTCAGTTTGAGAACAAAAAACAAATGATATCATCGTCGAGACTTACAATTCCTAACGAGAAGCACCATTTTGCTACATATGCAGAGTTGGTCTACCGCTGTCAGTCGTGGCCACTGCGCCGTCTCTCAACAAAGCCACTCACATCTTTTGTCTATTAATGTTAGCAGTGACTGTCAACCTTGATATCTGTAAATAGAGGGAGTATGCCAAAGACTCACCTTGCCGCCCAGAACCTCATCGCCGATGATGAGACAGGCCGCTGTGTGGATGGGCTTGGAGTGGTTGCGGGCCGCTGTGGAGAGCTCGGCCATGGCGGAGAGTGTCGGCCGCGCCGCCGTCAAGCTGTTGCGAGCCGAAGCGAAGTCGGGGCGAGCAGACGCCGAGAAAGGAGAAGCAGGAGCCGAAGCCGAAGCCGAAGCGGAAGCACGGAGGAGCGGCGATGTCGGCGCGGACACGTGACGCAGGATATGGGTGAGGCGCTGCGACATGGATGAGGGAGAGGACGAAGGGAGAAAGCGAAGATTGACACAGAAAAGACACAAGTATGTCGTGAAAGCAGTCAAAGGTGGCTGGCTAGTCAAAGGTAACCAGCAAAATGATATATGGATCGTGAGTCGTCAAAGCACGTAAGTCGGCTCTTTCCTCCTCAGGAACAAGGGCGTCACAGGCGGAGAACGGAATGGCGGGGATAAGAAGAGGGACGCAAAAGGCAGACCACTGTGGAGAGCAGCGTCCCTCTATTAGCGCGCCTCGATACGCTAAAGACGGGCTCGTCAGTGGTCCGTCCAGGCCTCTAGGCCCATCAATAGCGCCCTTGCAGCACGAACACACGCTGCCATAGTGGACTCGGCTGTCCTCGTCACGCTCTTTTCCCCGCGACGCTTTTGATCGCTGCACTTGACACCGGCATTCATCCTGCCATCGCCAAAGTGCACGACACTATCGCCAGTTTCCAGCTACACGGCCACAATCCCGTCCCGTCCTCCGTTGTCTGCCTGTGTACTCTGCCTCTGTACTCTGCCTGGTAACCCACCAACAGCCGTACCGTCGTCACCATGGTGAGTCTGTTGCGTCATCGTTGCGCCGATTCGTCATTGGCCTCCATCTCGACCCCCGACCGCTAACCCGCGTCTCCCCTTACCCCGACACAGAGCTCCGAAGCAAGACTCTACACCTTCTCCGAGGCGACCAAGGACCAGCTCCGCAAGTTCCGCCTCGGCACCTCGCGCGCCCGCGACCCCCAGGCCGTCATCTACCTCATCGACCGCGCCACCAAGGAGATCCGCCAGGACGACGAAAAGACAGTCTACACGAGCCTCGAGGCCATCGCCGACGACCTGCCCGAGAACTCGCCGCGCTTTGTGCTGCTCAGCTACCCCATGACGCTGCCGTCGGGCCGCCTGTCGTGTCCGTACGTGCTGCTGTACTACCTGCCCACGACCTGCAACAGCGAGCTGCGGATGCTGTATGCGGGCGCCAAGGAGCTGATGCGCAACACGAGCGAGGTGGGCAAGGTGCTGGACCTGGAGTCGACGGACGACTTTGAGGAGCTGCCGGAGCGTCGTCGGGTCGGGCGGGGTAGGGGGGGGGGGGACGGGGGGGGGGGGGGGGGGGGGGCGAATGAAGACCAACATTCGCCGGCGGTGACGATTGCAGACGGCCACAGACGAGGTGTTTCTTACGTCACAAGCTCTAATGAACTTTGCTTTTATATTGGACGATTGGATGACAAATCGGCAGATGGACAGATTTGCTTGGATAACGGGACAGGCGCGCTGCTATTCGAATTCATGAAATTGCTTCTCCTGTGCAGCTTGACTTGGAAGGCATTCGTACTTGCACGTCTGTGTTTTGCATCTGACTGCATTGCAGGTGTCCTGAGTCGTTATGTGATTGTGAAAAAGCAAAACGCTATGTAAATGCACCATTCTATATACAAGTCGAAAAGACATCAAGCCACGACTCGACCTACACCGTGCGGGCCTTGCCAGACGTCTCCTCGTGGCCGTCGGGCAGCACCTCGGACCCGTTCAGTCCCAACTCGCCTGCCAGTGTCCGCACCACCGTCTTCAGCGCCGCACACGCCGGGCTGTCCGGGTAGCTGTCAAAGAAGCTCTCGCCGTAGTCGCACGCCATGCCGATGCGCGGGTCCAGCGGCACGGCCCCCAGGAACGGCAGCCCCAGCTCGGCCGCCAGGCCGCGGCCGCCGCCCGTCGTGGCCCGGAAGATGTCGCTCTCGTGGCGGCACTTGGGGCACACGAAGCCGCTCATGTTCTCGACAAGGCCCAGCACGCGGATGCCGGCCTTGCGGCAAAAGTCAATCTCCTTGCGCACGTCCAGCAGCGCCACCTCCTGCGGCGTCGTCACGACCACGGCGCCGTCGATGCCGCTCTGGCCCAAAAACGCATTGACGCTGAGGTGCTCGTCGCTCGTGCCGGGCGGCGTGTCCACCAGCAGGAAATCCAGGTCGCCCCAGTCCACGTCCTTGAGGAACTGCTTGATCAGCCCGTTCTTCTTGGCCCCGCGCCAGATGATGGCGTCGTCGCGGTTCGGCAGCATGAACTGGATGCTCATGACGCCCAGATTGTCCGCCACCCACACCGGCGACCAGCCCGCGCTGCTGACGTGGATCGTCTCCGCCTCGACGCCCATCATCTTGGGGATGCTGGGCCCGCAAATGTCCGTGTCCATGATGCCCACGTTGCTGTCCGGGTTCGCCGAGAAGGCGTGCGCCAGCAGCGTCGTGAACGTGCTCTTGCCGACGCCGCCCTTGCCGCTGAGCACCAAGATCTTGTGCTTGACGTTTTCCAGCCGCGCCGTGATCACCGGGATGTCGGGGTCCGGGCCCTTGGGCGCCGATGCGCAGATCTCTTGGTTGGGACAGCCGGCGCACGAGTCGGCCTGGCCGGCCTGTTCCGATTCGGGGCCGGGGCAGTGCTCGGGCTCGGGCGCGACCAGCTTGGGCTTGGCCTTGAGCGGGTTTGCCAGGACATCCTCGACCGCCTCGGGCAGGTCCAGTGCCGGCGCCATTCGGCGTTGGGGGAGGTGTGTAAAACGGTTGTATGAAAGATGGAGGGTGATGCGAAGCGGAAGCTGTCTCTGCTTCTGATGCTGTCTCTGATTCTGATCGTGTTCTCTGCTTTCTCCACGCCGAGAAATGCGTTTCTACAGAATCTTGTGTGTTTGGAGGACGGACCATGTACAACGAGAAAAACATATGCTGTGATTGGTAAGTGGCGAAAAGATGGCCGGCGCTGGTTTCGCTGGTTTCGCTGGATTGGAAATGCGCATTGCCGTTGTGATTGGAGGGTCGTCTAGTGGCCGCATGACGGCATTCGCTGTGGGCTCTTGCCAGTAACGCATTTCTGGTTTTTTCTTTATTTTGTATGAAAACTGATAGGCAAAATTAAAAGAAAAGGAACGAAATAAACAATCTCAAAACATGGTACATAGAATAAAAAATAAAATAAAAAATTAGCCAAAAATAAAATATGCGACAACAGCAGGACTCGAACCTACGCGGCCGAAGCCATATGATATATCGAACTAGGAAATTCGAGTCATACCCATTAACCACTCTGGCATGTTGCCTGGTGCATCGTTGATTCTAAGTCGGAATAACCTTTCATTATATAGTCCACCTCGTGGCCGCTCGCGCCTGCTTATAGTAACCTCCCCGTTCTTTCCGTTCAGAGTTTCACAGCAATATCTCTCCCAACTGTTAATTGCGCCATTCCTTTCTAGCAAACGCAGTAGACTCCAAACGAATTGTAGACAATTCATCCTTCGCTGCCCAGCTCGGAGGATGTGAGCTGCATGTGCTAGAGGATCATATCTTACGCTAGCAGCACAAAGCATGCTGCAGCGCTCCCAACAGTCTCGCAGTCGCCAGCTAGGGCAGTTTTAGCATTTATTTTTGAATTAAATTTAATTCTTCCCTATTGCCGAGCTAACTTTATCCCGCATCCGTCATTTTTTCGAGCAAGGAAACAGCAGGAAGGCGCCGCCAGCTTTGGCAGGAGCGAAAAACTAGCCTGGCTTGGACGGGAAAGTGCCGCCGGCCGCCCAAACGCTCCTGCCAGCATTTCTGCATGACTGAAGCCATTTGCACCACACGCGACGCTGCTCATCTCGAAAAACTGCCTTTTCGACGCATCGACGCATCGACGCTTTGGCATCCGGCCTCCATCGCCACTCTACCCCGTTCCGCCCGTCGCTCGTTTCGCCATCTGCATTTCATCTGCATTCATCGAATTGACGCTTTGTCGTTCTGTTTCTTCGTTTCGTTCGCTCCTCCCTTTCCTCTCTCCGCCACAATGCTCCGCACGTCGTTGCGCTCAGCACGAGCTCTGGGCAGCCGACCGTCGGCCGCGTCTGCCCGCACATGGCGCGTTGTCGGTGCCAGCCAGGTAAGCAGAGCCTGTTGGAGAGCTCTGGTGAGCTCTGGCGAGCTCGTAAGCTGCTGTCGGAAACTAATTGACCCTTCCTCGCCCCCAGAGATTCTATGCCGATGCCCCGAAACCGCCCGTCTTGCCGGCGTCTGAGACGAGAACAGCTGCCTCGAGCCCCGTGCCGCCGCCGCCCACGACGACCTCTGCCCGCATTCCGTCCGACAGCGTGCCATTGACGCCGCCGCCGCCACCCCCAGCGCCACCGGCTGCTGCCAACGCTGCTGCTGCTGGCAACGCTGCTGCTGCTGGCAACGCTGCTGGCAACGCTGCGCCGCGGCGAAAGGGCGGTTTCTTCCGCAAGCTGCGCAACTACGTGCTGACGCTGTCCCTCCTGGGCGCGCTGGCGTTTGGCGGCGGGGTGTGGTACTCGCGCATCAACGACAACTTCCACGACTTCTTCACCGAGTACATTCCCTTTGGCGAGCAGGCCGTGCTCTACCTCGAGGAGCTCGACTTCCGCAAACGCTTCCCCAACATTGCCGAGCGCGTCGGCCACAAGTCGCGCGACACCGGTGCCAATGTCCGTGTTCCTGCCCAGAGCGGTGCCTCGTGGCGCGTGGCCGACGTGGAGACGAGCCGCCAGTCGGCTGCGGTTCCCAAGAAGAGCGGTGCCGAGGCGGCCCCTGCTGCTGCTGCTGCCACCCCCGCCACCACCGCTACTCCCAAACAGGGCGGCGATGCCCCATCTGCGCCGGCCGTCCCGGCCAAGGCCGAGAATCCCGCGCGCGCCAAGGATGCCCTTGTCGAGTCGCCTGTGACGAGCGCGGCCGAGGCCGCCGTGGTGGCCAACACCCAGGACGCGAAGACGACGACAGAGGCGGCGGCCGCCGCGCCGGCGTTCCGCGCGCCCGAGGTGGACGAGCCGTCGCGCTGGCCGCCCGCGTCGCCCATTGACCCGCTGGCCGTCCCGGACGCGGCCGAGCCGGTCGTGCAGGACGTCGTGCGCCTGCTCAACGACATCATCACCGTGGTCAACGCCGACAAGGCCAACGGCAAGTACGCGGCGACGATTGGCAAGGCCAAGGAGCAGGTCAGCAAGGTGGGCCGCAAGATCCAGGCCATCCGCGCGGCGGCGGAGCAGGACGCGGCCGCGCAGGTGGCGGCCCGCACGGCCAGCTTCGACGCGGCCGCGCAGGACCTCGTGGCGCGCGTGGAGGCGGCCATGGCGACGCAGGAGGCGCAGTGGCGCGCCGAGTTCGACGAGCAGATGGCGGCCGTGCGCAGCAGCTACGACGCGCGGCTGCAGCTGGCGACGGCCCGCGAGCGCGAGCTCAGCGAGGCGAAGCTGCAGAACAAGCTGGCGGAGCAGGCCGTGCAGCTCACGCAGCAGTTTGCCGGCGAGCTGCGCGACCGCGTCGAGACGGAGCGCAGCGGCCGCCTCGGCCGCCTGGCCGAGCTGTCGGCGTCCGTGGCTGAGCTCGAGCGCCTGACGGCCGGCTGGACCGAGGTCGTCGACGCCAGCCAGCGCGCCCAGCAGCTGCACGTCGCCATGGACGCCGTGCGCGCGCGCCTCGCCGACGACGAGGACGCCACCGCCAGCCACGGCGGTGCGCAGCCTGTCCTGCGGCCGTTTGTCAAGGAGCTCGTCGCCGTCAAGGAGATTGCCGCCGCCGACCCCGTCGTGGACGCCGCCATTGCCTCCATCCCCCCCGCCGCCTACCAGCGCGGCATCGCCACCACGTCGGAGCTCATCGACCGCTTCCGCCGCGTCGCCGGCGAGGTCCGCAAGGCCTCGCTGCTGCCCGAGGACGCCGGCGTCGCCAGCCACGCCTCGAGCTACGTGCTGAGCAAGGTGCTGTTCCGCAAGCAAGGCGCCGCCGCCGGCGGCGCCGCCGCGGCCACCGCGTCCGACGCCAACGACGCCAACGGCGCAGCCAATGCCAATGTCGAGACGATCCTGACGCGCACGCAGGCGTTTTTGGAGGAGGGCAACCTGGACGGCGCGGCGCGGGAGATGAACGGCCTCAAGGGCTGGGCCAAGACGCTGAGCCGGGACTGGCTGGGCGAGGTGCGCAAGGTCCTGGAGGTGCAGCAGGCGCTGGATGTCATTACGGCCGAGGCCCGGTTACGGAGTCTGCAGCTGGAGAAGAGCCGGTAAAATGAGAGAGCGCGTTGAGAAAGACGGATGACATGAAGTCTTTTTTTTTTTTTTCATAATCTGTCCTTTTTTTGTTTTTTTTCTTCTTTTTCTTTTGTCATGTGTTCAATCTTTGCTTCTGTCGTTATATGTGTATACTTTTTTCATCTGAAGGAACGGGCAAAGGAGAAGGCAAAAATAGACCATGTAGAGACAGACGAGGGCGTATGTACGAGAAGGAGGATGACTGGAGGAAGGAAGAGCCGATGCATGTGTACAGTATAATACAATAAATCAGCATGTAAATTAAGCGTTCGTATGTGGATGTCACTGTGACCTGTCTGAAGGTGTGTACAAAAGCTGTTTCTCGCATTGTCATTATCATTATATCTTTATAAATACAAGGAGGGCTGCATTACGCCGCCGCCTTCTCGTCTGGACCAAGAACAAGGTTGTGCATCAGCTTCATATGGCGCACCATATTCGGCCGCCGCGTGAAGCCGTCCAGGGCGCGTGGGCAGTTGGGCCGAGGACAGTACCAGACGCTGGGTGTTGGCTTCTTTGGCGGGCCTGGCTTGGGTTTCGGAGGGGCCGTCGGAGCGCCTGGAATCACCGGCAGAGGGACGACGGACATTGGCCGAGGCTGGGACGCGGTGGACATCCTCCCGTCGGGGTTGTCACTGCCAGCATCCTCGACGTCGTCGTCTTCTCCGGTGCCTTCTTCATCGTCTTCCTGGTCCTCGGCACCAACGACACCCGCAGCCAACGCCGGCACTTCCGCCTGCATTCTGTCTCGCATCTGCTTCATCAACGTCTCGCGTTGCGCCAGTCGATCCTGGCGCCGGGCATGAGCACGCTTTACCTCGAGTGTCAGCACATCCAGTGCCTTTGTGTCGGCCTCGGCGGTCGCTGTGGACGGGGCGGACGGTCCGGTAGACACGACTGTTCCTCGTGGCGTGTAGACGGTGCGCGTGATTGACGGAGGCACCACCGAACTCTCCGCCGAACTCGGCTCTGCGCCAACGCCGGCCAGCGTGTCCATCGCCATGCGCTGGCCAAAGAGGTCGGCACAGCGCTGAGCGGTGCGGGCCAGGACCTCTGGGCTGAAGCCGCCACTGAGGGCAGCCGCGCCCAGCACGTCGGTCCAGTCCCGCAGCGGCCAACGGGCCATGGTCTTGTCCGATGGATGACCTTTTGTGGCCGTGACGTGTGTGCGTTTTCGGCGGCCAATTTGTGCTCCGGTTCCTTCTTCGTCGTCGCCCGTCTGCCAGTCGCTATCATACCTCTCTCCATTTTCATTATCGTCCTCGTCGTCGTCATCGGCGTCGACAATGAACCCCTTCACCCCTATGTTCCCTGGCTCGGTGGCCACGCTGTCGACATGCTCGGCAAACGAGACTCGTCGTTGCCGCTCCTGAGGTGCAGCTGTCTTGGTTTGGACGCCGAAAGACGGCGGGTATACCGGCGTCTCCTTGGGCCGCGGGGTTTTGTCCTTGTCGTCTTCTTCGTCTTCTTCGTCTACTTCCTCCCCGTCGTCTCCGCCCTCCTTTTCGTCGTCTGAAAAGTCGGGGATGCGTCGATGCGCCTGCCGCGCTATACGGATGAGAAACTGCTTCTCCGTCTCGCCCGGCAATGGCTGCCGCCGCTTCGTTGGCCGTCCGCGCCCGTCAACCTCTTTCCGCCGGCCCTTGTTCGTCCTGGCGGGGTTTATCTGCTTCGGCAGCGTCTGTTCGCTGCCTGTCTGATGGTCAGCCAAACCGGCCACTGTGCGAACGTCCGGCACTGGCGCCGTGGCCACCATCACCTCGGGCCCCGGCGACCACTCCTTCGGCCGCAGGCAGACGCGTTTCTTGCTGGGCTGCGGCAGTTTCTTTGCAATCTTTCGCAGAACTGGTCCTGTCCCTATCCCTGTCCCTGTCCCTGTCCCCTCCAGGGCGTCCACGGATGGTGACGGCTGCCGCCGCAACCGTGCGGCAAGCGAGCTCGATCTTGCGCTCGAGCCCGTCGCGTTGCTCTCACCATTGGCCGCCGTGGCGACACGTGCATTGTGCAGGATCGACAGCACCTTGTCGACTTGGGCAAGTAGATGGTGGACACTCGGAAGCAGCAGATGGGCGGCCAGCTCGTCGTCGGCCAGGACCACGGCCGGGGCGTCGTCGGCCCCATTGGTGTTTTTTTCCGTGTTCGCCTGGGTCGCTATGGTATCCATGCGGCTGTCCACGACAGGCTGCGCGGGACGTCCCTCCTGTTGCTCTTGTGGGCGCCGGGCTCGTCGCCGCTGGTAAAACTGCTCGCGGGCCACGCGCTGAATCGTGGCCGTCAGCATGTCTTCGAGAGGCTTGCTGGGCCGCGTTTCGGAACGCGGCTCATGGCTCTGAAAGATGGGCATGCTCTTGTGCTTGTGCTTGACGATGTCGTCGTCGCCTTCGTCGTCGTCGTTTGCATCCGGCTGGCCTTCGTCAAATACGCCGAGGCCAAGACTGTCGCGCAGCCGCAACGGCCACGCCGTCCAATACGGCTTCGGCGCCCAGGTGTCTGGGTCGTCTGGGTCGACGGTCTGCTTCATGTGGAAGGCATTGTAGAGGTGTGCAGCCAGGTCGCGGTCACGCGTGCGGTTCATGGCAGCCACCACGGCGCGGTCGAGCTCGGTAATGTGCTGCCATGCGCGTGGATTGCCTTGCCAGCGATTCGGTCGACGCGCTGCCAGGTCGTCCGAGTCGCGCGAGGCGATGCTGGCCGTGTCTGGGTCGGACCAGTCATTGCTGGCAGCCAGGGCCGCAGGCTCATGCTCAGGTTCGGGCACGGGTGTCTCCCACTCTTCCGTCATTTCTTGTCGCTCCCGTTCCCTTCCATCAATCTCCCTTGTCCGTTGATGCGTCTCTGCGGCCCCGTATGGCGCCATTCTTGCGCTTCCCTATTCCGAGCTGCAAGGCGATCTTTTATCTGCTTCTGATTCGGGTGCAGCATGACGTTGTGCGGAGCGACAAAGCTCGGTGCGTGGCAGCTGTGGTGGACGTTGCGTTGTGACGTGAGCGATTGTCAGTTGTTGTCGATGTGAAAATTAAAGTGGGGCCATTCGATAACTAACAAGCCATAAAGTTGGTGCTTTAATGCAACTCATTAACATTTACAAAGGTACATTGAAGAACACGTACATTTACATTCACATTTGCACCTGGATATACTCCAGTCAAAAAATGACACACTACGTCATGGTTGACATGGGATACAATATCATAAATAAGCTATGAACGCCATTCTTGACCTAAATGTAACGAGAAAATGAGACAATAAAATAAATGCAAAACAACACAACTTTTTTTATAGGAATAGATGGCACAACAGCCCAACACACTCGTCCCGCTACGCCTGCGCCTTGGCGTTCTTCCGCTCCAGCTTCCGGCGCTTGGCCCGCAGCTTCTCGTCCTCGGCACTGCGCTTGGTGTTGGTGTACACCATCTGCTCGTACAGCCGCCGCTTCTTCTTCGGCAGCATGCCCTTGGCCCGCTCCAGCTCGTCCTGCCGCTGCTTGGCGTCGCGTGCCAGCGCCTTGCGCGCGTTGGCCTTGGCTTTGGCGCGGGCGTCCAGCGGCGCCTTGTTGTGGGCGCTGCGGACGGGCTTGCCCGACAGCTCGGCCTCGAGCTCCAGCTGGCGCTGCAGCGCGCTGTCGGCCTCCTCCTCGTCCTCGTCGGCGTCTTCCGTCTCGCCCACGCTCTGGGACACCTTTTTGGGCGCGGCCGTCACCTTCTCATCCTCCTCCTCCTCCTCCTCCTCCTCATCGTCCGTACCGGCCACGTCCATGCCGTGGTCGCTGTCGTCGTCCGACTCTTGCGTCGCCGCAGCCTTCTTGGCCGCCTTGGCCTTCTTGACCTTTTCGACGGCCGCCTCCACGGCCGCCGCTTCGTCCTCGTCGTCGTTGTCCTCGTCGTCGTCCTCATCCTCGTCCGCCTCGGCATCCGACTCGAGCGCCTCCATCTCGGTCTGCTGCTGGTCCAGCGGCAGCGACGGGTCGTACTGGCCCTGCACGCTCTTCACAAACGGACTCAGGTGCGGCGGCAGCTGCGCGCCCGGTGCGTACACGTCCGCCGGCAGCAGCTCCTCGGCGTTGACGCTGTCCCAGACCCACTGCGGCTGCACGTAGATGCGGCCGGCCACGCGGCGGTTGGCCGCCAGCTTCTGCGCCGTCTGGTTGTCTTCCTTGTCTTGTTTGCCCTGTTCGCCGTCGCTCGTCGCCGTCACAGTGACGGGCGGCCGGTCCACAATCTGGTGCGTAATGTTGGGGTCCATCTCGTTGGTCGTGTAGGCGCCCTCGCCGAGCACCGCGTCCCAGCCGATGCGCTTGCAGCCAAACGCGCGCAGCAAGAACTCGAGCGAGCCACGCGGCGTCTCGCGCGACAGGTAGATGGTGCACTTGGAGAAGAGCTGGCGCGGGTTGCTGGCGCTGTACGACGGCTGCGGCAGCACGTCGCCGCCCTGGGCCGCCGGCTCAAACTTGTCAATGGCGTCGGACACGACGTCGGCGTCGGCAGTTTCGGAAGCGTCGGCCGGTTCGGAAGCGTCTGCGGTGTCCACCCGGCCCGCCTCCTCGTCCTTGAGCTCCCGGACCAGCTTGTTGACCTCGGCCTGCACCTTGGGGTCCGGGCCGGCGGCCATTGTGGCCGCGGCGGTCTCCGCCGCAGGCTGGCCGTTGACCGCCGCAGCGTCCTCGAGCGTAAACGCGCCGAGCTCGCCGGCGCCGTCGTCCTTGGCCTGGTCGAACTTGGGCGGGTACTTGAGCCCCACCGCCGTGTACAGGCGGAAGTTGACAAAGCCCAGCAGCGTCATGTAGAACTCGACAAAGGTGCCCATGATGCGGAAGTCAATGTCGCCCACCACGCGCTGGTTGAACTTGTACGGCACGAGCCACGTGACGTCCTCGCCCTGGATGCTGGCCTGGAAATAGACGCCCTTGATGCTCAGAAACGACTTGCGCAGCGAGTGCGACACAATCAGGTAGTGCTGGAACTCGAGGCACAGCCGCTCGCACCGCGCAATCATCTTGGCCGGCACCGACGACGTCGACGGCAGGTTGGCAAACAAGAACAGCATCGACAGGCAGTCGTCGAGGTCGCGCAGCGAGTCCACAAACGTCGGGTACCGCTCGCGGATGACGTGGTCCAGCGTGTAGCGCGGCCGCCCCGTCTTCTCGGGCCGCGCGGCGTTGCGCTCGAAGCGCTTGGCATCCGTCACGTCGCCGCGGCCGAGCGCCCGCGAGATCTTCTTTTCGAGCGCCTTTTGCTCGCGGAACCGGTTGACCAGCGGCTCGTGCAGCAGGTACTGGATGTCCTTGGCGTAGTAAAACGTCGTCGACGCCGTCGACGACTTGGACACCTTCTTCTTGCTGCGCGGCTCGCGCGGATAGATGCCCTTCCAGATGCACAGCTTGCGGAAGTCGGGGAGGCTCAGCTGCAGCTTGCGCACCGCCTGGTTGCGGGTGACGTAGTTGCGGGCGGCACCGGCCTCGCCCTTTCTCTTGGGACGAGCCATGTGTGAGGTCGGATGCGGGGGAGGGAAGAGTTGTTGGTGCGGCTGGCGATGCTTGTTGATCACAAATCACAGACGATGGTGATCGTGTCGTGGTGAGAGAAGAGGTTTTTGCTGGGGGAAAGCCTCCAAAAGCGGTAGCAGCAAGCCAGTTGCACTTTCCTGTAGCGTAAACTTTTTTTTCCAATGGGCGCACTAGTTTTTTTTTTCTGCCACCCTTTCATGGCAACCAGCCTCCTGGCCGCAGAGACTTTTTCACCACCGGCACTCACCGCCTTTCGTTGGGCCCACTTTCAAGCCACAGCCGCCACAGGGGGTCTTTCCACCGTCAGGGCCCCTCTGTCCCCTGGCTGGCTCCCTCGCAGCTTCCTGTAAGTGGGACACGGTTGACACCAAGCTCCGTCCAATTAGCGCGCGGCGCGTTTTAAGGACAGCACTACGGGCTGCACCTTCCCCTAAAAGCGTCTATGGCCACCATCACGAACGTCCTCTCTCTCACCTCAACTCACCCTCAACGACAGACACCAGCCCCCCTGCAACCAGCCGGGCGATGAATGGCGGACGCACCATGACCTTTGGGAGGACGGCGGCGCTGTATGCGGCCGCGGCCGCCGTGCGCCTCGCGCTCTTCACCGTCTTCCCGGGCCTCCCCGACCTGCTGACTGGACGCGTCGAGATCTCGACGCCTGTCACCAGCTTCAAGCGCCTGCAGGAGGGCTTGTTCCTGTACAACCACAACGTGTCGCCTTACGACGGCGGCGTCTACCACCAGGCGCCGCTGCTGCTGCCGCTCTTCTCGCTGCTGCCGCCGGCCAGCCTGCCCGTCTTCACCTACCTGCTCTACATTGCCGTCGATCTGCTGAGCGCCGATGCTCTGGTGCGCATTGCCGACTCGGGCGAGGCGGGTGCCTCGGCCCTGTTCACGTCCCCGCGGCGCGAGAAGCGCTGGAGCGGCTTTGTCGTGGCGGCTGTGTAAGTCGCCGGTGGTCTCGCGCGGTACACAACTTGGATCCAACTAACCCTTTCCACGCTGCAGCTACCTCTTCAACCCCTTTACGGTGGCGACGTGCATCGGCCGCTCCACCAGCGTCTTCTCGACCTGTGCCATCCTCCACGCCATCAGCAAGGCCATTGCCGGCGCGCCGCTCCGCGCCATGGTCTCGCTCGCCTTCGCCGCCTACCTCTCCATGTATCCGCTGCTCCTGCTGCCGCCCCTCGTCCTGCTGGCCTACGACCGCCGCAAGACAAGGACGCGGGCGAGGCCGCTGCTCGCCTTTTCAGCCGTCCACGTCCTCTTCGTGGCGGCGTGCCTCGTCGTGCTGCTCGGCATGTCCTTTGTGCTGACGGGCGGCTCCTGGGAGTTTCTGCGGTCGACCTACGGCGTGCAGCTCACCCTGTCGGACCTCACGCCCAATGTCGGGCTCTGGTGGTACTTTTTTATCGAAATGTTCGACTCGTTCCGTGCGTTTTTCGTCGCCGTCTTTTGGCTGCACCTCTCGAGCTACGTCGGCGGGCTCGCCATCCGCATCCGCAGCCAGCCGCTCGTCGTGCTCACGCTGCTCACGGGCATCTTTGCCATCTTCAAGCCGTACCCCAGCATCGGCGACACCTCGCTGTTCCTGGCGCTCGTGCCGCTGTTCCGCCACGTGTTCCCGCTGATGCGGTACACCTTCGTCGTGGCGGCCACCATCATGTACGCGACGTTCCTGGGCCCGGCGTTCTACCACCTGTGGATCTACGCCGGCAGCGGCAACGCCAACTTCTTCTACGCCATTACTCTGGTCTGGAGCTTGGGGCAGAGCCTGCTGGTGTCGGACTTGACGTTTGCGGTGCTGCGGGACGAGTGGGAGGTGGAGCGGCCGGAGATGGTTGGCAAAGAGATCCGGCAGATTTAATGGCGGTGACGAGACGTCTCCCGTGCGAGACCTCTTTTGATGTGAAGAACCAGGCTCAGCCTAACGGCCCGGCCTCATTTAACATTTTATGTTGCAAAGCGTATGCTTGTATAAGGTTTGCAGCTATGGTGTTGTATTCATTTGCATTTTATGTCATTTACACGCACGCATTTCCTCTGTCGGGACTGGTTATAAAAGGGACAGATACACACTGTGTTTTAATTGCGTGTTTCTTAAAGAAAATATAGTATAAATTCGATCGCATGCTTTTCAATGTACCGAATTCAAGAGTGTAGAGGTCATTTTCCACTGCCTTCCTTTTCCTATCCCATACCCTCCATGATATCATTATACTAGATCGGATTCACATATGACGCCTGAAAATGCTAATACCAAAAGAAAAAGGATTGCAAGTCCACCAACCACCCTTTACAGCACGCTCAGCAAGGCACCCGCCGCGCCCAGTCCGGCAAACGAGATGGGCGCCCGCCGGTACACGACGATACGCGAGCCAAAGGCCGGCAGCCGGCGGTAGCCTAGGACCAGACCGACAAAAAATGCTGTGCCGGCCATGGTCGCCGACACCGTGACCAGCCGCTGCCACCGCGCGGCCGTCATGTCGCGCTGCCAGCGGGCGACGGCAGGGTCCGAGCTGTTTTCGGCGCCATCATCACAATCATCGCTCTCTACGCGGATGCGCCGCCACAGCCAGACCACCCACTCGCCGCTGAGGCCAGGGACGCTGTGGACGAGGCCGTGCAGCGTGCGCAGCCACAGCGGGTTGGCAGACCGGCCGCGGGGTTGGGCGACGGCCATTGTCAGCGCCACAGCCGCGTCCTCGCCCGGGAAGCAGACGGCACGCACGTCGGCGACAAAGACGGCGAGGGCAGGGTGGTGCCGCCGCAGGGCGTCGCGCAGAAACGAGCGGGGCACGTCCGGCACCGTCATCAGCGCCAGGTAGCCCCAGGCAAGGCAGTCGAGGGAGGTCAGGGACGTCGCGAGGGAGAGTGCGGTTGCTTGGCTGTCTGTGTCTGTGTCTGTGTCTGTGTCTGTGTCTGTGGAGGACGCCCGTAGGAATGTACGCTTGGTGCCCTTTTGCTCCGCCAGGACAGACAAGCAGCTGCGGACGGCCTCGTCGAGGCGGGACGGTACCGTGGCCTCGGGCGTTTGAGACGACGACGACTGGGCATGGACACGCGACGCAGCTTCGGCCATGGACAGCGAGCGCGCTGCAGGCTTCGCTTCCGTCGCCGCCGTCTGGGCTGGCTTCGCTTGTTGCTGCTGCTGCACCGACTTTCGTATCCGGTCGGGGAAGGCGTGCAGTGCGGCCGCCAGGGACGACGCCTTGTGGCTGCCGTCCTCGTCGCTCACGTCATTGTCCGTATCCAGGCTCGAGACGCCCAGGTGCGCCGCGCTGGCTGCGTACGATGCGCGAATCGCTGGCGGCTCGAGCCAGGTCAGCGGGAAGGGCAGGATGCGGCTGTAGGCCGGGCGGGTGGCGGCGATCCAGTTCGCGGAGGACACATAGAAGGAGAGGGCCAGCAGGGGTGCGGCCTCGGCGCGCAGAAAGGCTGAGTAGGCAGTGGCGTCGGCAATCTGGGCGGGGGTGAGGCCGACATCCAGGTCGGTGATCGAGGCGTCCGTCGTGGCTTTTGCTCGCACAAAGGCCACGATCGAGTCGAAGCCGGCGGCCACCCAGCGGCCGGACACGTCGTCACGCAGGGCAGGCAATGGGTCTAGACAAGAGGTTACTGTTAGCAGGTGTATGATGCACCCAAATTTTTCCAAGGATTTGTCGCCTCCGGCAACTCACGAGGAATCGACGACGGGCTTGCGGCCAGGCGTGTCCAGGAGCCCCGTGGCAGTGTGACGCTCAGGTAGGCAACAGCAGCGAGACATTCTGCGTCAATTGACGGCAGGCCAAATGCCGGGCCCCAGATGTGTAGTTCGAGAGGCATGGATTTGACGTGAGGGTGGTGACGGTGGATGTGCCTAACAATACAGCGGGCAACCTCCTTCCCCTGTTGACGTCGTTGCATGCACTTTATCGGACGGCGGGGTGTCGAGAAAAAAATGAAGGAGCAAATGGCTATCTCCACGTGACAAAAGGCACCTTCCGTTTTAAGGCTTACAGCGGTCAGATTTCATCATGAAACAGGCAACTGGTAAGATGGCCGAGCGGTCTAAGGCGCTAGCTTCAGGTTCTAGGCGAGAATTTCCGGATTCGAGTCGAACAACGTGAACTTGCTAGTCTCGCAAGAGGCGTGGGTTCGAATCCCACTCTTATCATTCTTTTTTGGATTTTTTTCTGGCTTTTTGCTAGGCGACGTTTAAGCCTGACATTGTCGTTCTTCTTTTGTACGTCTGAGTTTCTAAGGTAAATTATGTCCAGTCTATGATGCTTTCTTATACTGTTTGATATTCGTAATCTTTTTAATATATATTTTTTTTCCCGAAAATTATCTTACATTATGTATTTTATTCAACTTTATTATCCACGGGGCTCGTAAAAAATTTGTTTTATATTTTCGTTATAGGCTGTCCTATGCTTCCACGATGTGAACGTTGTGGATTGTATTTGATGCTCATGAAAATAAACGATAACAAAACAGTTCGGACGCACGCAGCCTGTCTCGAGGACTGCCAATATGTTTGAAAAGGGCATGGCATCTCCGTTTCGTCCTGTGCGCACTTTACTTGCTTTGGTCTTACCGCACGCCTCAACTTCATCCCAGCTTTGCCTGTTTTGCGCTCGTTTGGAGCGTTCGTCTTCCAGGGAATGACATTGTATCGTATGTGTATCAAGAAACCTCTCACAGGAGGCATGTCGACAAAAGTGGCGTAGAAAGAGACTCCACCAGTGTTTCTTACAGTATTAGTTCTCCATACGGAGATCTTATCGCTCACATTGTATCCTCTGCACTTCTTCATTCTCGACAGTTTTGCGAGCGTGATAATGCACTTTCACCCCCCGCTTGGGCGCTCCTGGGCTCCATCTGTATGGCAGACGAAACGCGCGCTTGCGACACATGGCGAATGCAGGCGCTGGAGTCGTTGCAAATGCGACGTCGGACCCTTGCTGGCAAACCCTGCGAAAGAGTCCAGGTCCACACAAAGGACGTCAATTCCTTTGCTGATGGGGTAGGAGAGACACGGACATACGATGTAAGATGGTTGAGACGGACGGGACAGTCCGTTGTTTGCGAAAAGGCAGTAACAAAACGGTGTTGCTCTTCCAAAGTTGCAGCGTAAACATGAATAAGAAAGCAATACAACTCAGGAGGATGTTGTATGTCGTACTGCTGACACGAGGCGCTGCCCGTATCAGAGCTGCTAGCAAGGAGCCAATGTATTTTGGAATGATGGGGCGGGAATGAGACACCAAAGACAAAAGCGCTGCCAAAAATAGCTGGGGATGAGAGCGGAGATTGTTGGGGAGGATTGAACACAATGCCCTATGCGTAATTTGGGGATCCCAGGTCTGTGCGTGGAGATTGCAAACAGATAACGAAATAAAGCTGTCGTATTCTCGTCGTTAGGACCCTTTTTCGTTTAGATTTGCATCCCCACAACATCTAAGGGGACTGTCATTTCCAAAATCCCAGGGCATTAAGGGGCTATTGCTGTGGGACGCTGCCGAGTTCAAAAATAGGACATGTTCTGGAGGGCCTCGTATGTCGTATGTCGTAGTTGTGTGTCGTGAGGGGATCGCCGCAAGGGGATCGATATCGTGTTACGGACATGCGTGCGTGACGTGCTCTGCGACTACTCCACTGCTTTTGTTGCAAAGCCCGCTCCAACAGACTCCGTCCTCCGTATGCAAGAGAATATGAAGGGCCCTTTTGATGCAATCTTTGCTCTCCTTATCTGGCACATGCGAAATGCACGTTCCAATGCACCGTGCGTATTGTGTCAACGGCCCGACCATAGGGCGTGTTATCTTCCTGCTGTCTAAGACTTACGACGTAGGTCAACGACTGGTCCACCCACCCATCCATGCTGTACTGGAGGGAACAAACATGAACCGGGGAAACGGGAGAGAATCGTCGATAGGGAAGCCACGGAAGGGGAAAACCCGACGCAGGTCTCACGGGACGGAGAGTAAATGGCCCAGAACGAGAAACGGAGTGAAAACGAAACAAAGAAACGGGACATGGGAAGCGGCAAGACACAGCCTTGGACGGCTCGAGTTGCTTGTATTGGATCTTGGCGCAAAAAGTGTAAAAAAGCAGACAGACAATGGGGTATGGGTGTGAAACGATAAAACTAGCTGAGAAGGGGGGACGAAAGAGGGGGACGAGTCAACGAAGCCAAGAAATAAGAACCTTAAGGTAAGGGAGAACATGAGGAGGGGGAAACAGACCAGGAGATGGGTAGGCAGATGACGATCCAAGACGGGATACCTCCGCGGATACAGAGCACCATGGAAGTGTTGAAATGGAGGGGCTGTGTACGGTGTGCGGAAACAGGGAAGAGAATGAAAGGAAAAGAAAGTAAAAAGTGAAAAACGAAAAATGAACGATAATATCGACAACATCGGTGTCGTCTCTTGTACCAGCAGAAGGACACGACAGAAACGTGGACCAAATGTCCTGGCAAGGCCAGCACTTCAAGAGAACAAGAGGACAGGAGGCGGTGGGAAATACCGACAGTGTGCGACGGTACTCTCCGTACGGCGAAACATTGTGTCAGTTTGGAGGTAGAGATTGCTGGAATGACGACATTGATTTTGGTGTAGTATCTCCTTTCGACCTGTCACCTACGACGACTCGAGGCGCGCCGGGATCCAGGACCCTCAGTTAATCAACTGAAAACGAGGGAAAAGCACGGAACGAGGGCGATCATATTGACAGAATAATGGTCGACTGGCACCGGTGTCTTGTGGCGTTTGATAGCTCATGGCTCATATCAGGGGCGGGCAGCGTTCGCTTTCGACCTACAGGGCGGTGCACGTGTGCCACACAAGAAGGCTGATGGACGGGCCAGTGTGAAGCAAGGGATGGAAAGTATCAAAAGTATCGCTGAAATGGGTCGAACGGGTCGAGCGGAGGACAAAAGAGTGGAGTGTGGAGTGGGTCGGACGTTGAGAGAGGCGGCGCGTGGGGACGTCTCATTCAGGGCAGAAAGAGGGGATCGATGGGAATCGAGCCGTCTCGTACAAAGAGGAGACAACGGACAAGGTAGTCGAGCTTCGAGTAATGTAAGTGAACGGAGTGGTCAACTGCCATTCAAAGTGATAAGAAAAGAGGAGACGAGAGGGATGGGGGGAAAGAGGAGACGACAAGGATGTGATGAGCAAAGTAAAAGGGGAAGAGACGATTAACTACGTAGATGGAATCGATTCCAACGTGAAGATAGATGAGGACGTGCCTTGAGAGACGATCTCCGATCGAGTACTGCTGATCACCGGGAGAGTGTCCGACAGACTGGCCGCGGCCTACCAATGCCAGCTGTGGCCGCTTCACGACACTTGCTGGAAGGTCTGAGCAGTTGGGCTGGTTTTCGATTCTTGGAAGTCTTGTGAAGAGTCTTGGAAGTCCTTGGCCTGCTGGGCCACTTTTCGTCCTGTCGGATTTTCTTGTCGGACACACTCTTTTTTTCTTTCTTTTTTTTCTTTTCTTTTTTTTCTTTTTTTTCTTTCGCAACCTCCTTCGCCTCCCTTCCTACCTTGTTCTCGTTCCTGTTCCCCCGTGTGAAACATGCGGCAGGGCCGGGCGCTGGTTTCGGTCCAATCCAGGCACAAGAGACACATGGTGGGAGGCGGAAAGCAGGAAGACGAAAAAGGAAAAAAGGAAAAGGAAAAGTAAAAAGCACGAAAAAGAAAGAACAGGCACCAGGCACAAGCGGTGGCAAAACGGCCAGAATGCGGAGGGATTTGTCTCACACTATTTTGTCGAGAAAAGCCATTAAAGTGTGTGTGCGTAAAAGTGGTTGCCATATGTCTCAGTCAGCAATATAACATATCGCATCCCAAGTACGACATACGACGTACGGCGCATGCATGTGTTTATATTACGTTCGTAAAGTGGTGGCGGCTGACTGTGATAATAGATGTTCATGTCGTTTGGTGCTCTCGACATTTCAAATTCAAACATATTAGGCGTTCACGCAATCGACAGTTGCAAGGAAGCCAGTTCTCCTAGGACAGAGTGGCAAAAACATGAACGGACAAGACAAGCGAATGGAAATGGTTTGCCTGGGATACGATAATATTGTTATTTCGGATTCTTGGGAATAATAACGGAAAACAGGTTAAGCAAATAAAATACGACGACGCCGATGAAGCCCATATGCTCATTCTAGTGATACAAAAAATTAACCAAGCGTATTGGAAATTGCCAGAGTGGTCGGCACACAAGTAGGATATCCCTTTCTAATCGCAAGCAAACAAAAAAAAAAAAAAAAAAACCAAACCACCCAGAGCTGTGTTATGGGGAATACCGCCCGAAACAAAACAAAAAAAAGAAAAAAAAAAAAAAAAATAACCGATAATGCTTCGTAACAAATAAGGTTGTACGCGTCGTGTAGTAAAAGGTGAACAAAGGTAAAGCAAAGGGGGGTTCGTGATTACAACAAGAGTGTATGGTGGTGAAACATAAAAAAAGAAATGGGTAATAAAAACGGTGGTGGTACAGTGAAGGGGAAGGCGGGCCAAGTCGATATTCGCCGGAAAAAAAAACAACGGCAAAGAAAGTCCATCACAACGTGACGGAAGTGTCGGTTGTGAAGAGGTTGGTTGTGCCGCAGCGTTGAGGTTTGCCATGAAGGGCGCGAACTTGGCCGAGCCGGCTCGTCAAGTTGGTCGTCAAGTTGGTCGCAGTCAGAGTGAGAACAAGGAACAGGATGTTTGTGGTGGGATGCCCGCGTGCCCCAGTCAGAGACTTGCGGATGTTGCAGAGCAGGAGAGACGAGCAGAGATGAGGCGTTCCGTCGTGGCGTGGTGCACAAATGCTGTGCGACCAGACCGGTCGGTCAAGGGTCAAGGCTTTGTGCCTTTAGTCGGCCTCGTCTTGGTGTTTCTCGGTCTCTCGGTGCTGTGTTCATGCTGTGCTCATGCTGCGCTCATTCTTTTCTTTCCGGTGTGCAACGCCACGCTCCCCCGATCGGGTGCGGGCTTGTTTGTGTTGGTGTTTGTAGTTGTTGTAAGCCGTAGCTCAGAGTTCGTTCTGCGCAAAGCGCAGAGACCCGAGTGGTGCCGTCTACCCGCGGTTCGGCAGCGGCGGCAGAGGACGACTTGGCGGCGGGCCGGGGCAGGGCGGCAGCTGCGACGGACGCTGCTCCATGGAGGCAAACTGTGTAGACGCCATTGCGGATAGGTTGTGTGGTTGTGGTTGGTAGGTGTTCGAGATGGTCGTGATGGTGTTCTGCAAGAACGCGGTTGTAGGCAGATGACTGGGATGAGACCAAGGCTGCCAAGTGTCTTCTAGTTGTTGATGAGAGTAGTTGAGAGTTGTGTTGGCTTGTTGTTTGGTGTAGCTTGAGATTTGGCTTGGTGATGATAAGAGACGAAGAGAAGGAGAGAGAGTTGGGAAGAGGAAAGGGCTCGGGGCAGACACTTGACTTATATGGACTTTGAAGGGGGTGTGAGAATGTGAACAAAAGCTTCTGGGAAACGGAACGACACAATACAAAAGAAAAGAATAAAAGAAGTGTACTGCGTATTAAACAGTATTAAACAAAAAAAAACCGGGCAGAGTGAAAACAGGGCCAAGGGCCTTGCAGTTGACAATTTCGCGTGGCTCCTTTCTGACCAGGCAGCCTTTTGCCCAGCACCAGAGGGGGTGAAGGAAAGGGGAAGGAGAGGGGGGGGGGGTGCGAGCCAAGATCGGCCGTTTCGAGATGATGGGACGGGACTTGATTAGTGGGCGTGCAGTGAAGCGCAGCTGGTGCCACTCTCGGCGACAGAACAAAGGACAGAAGGCAGAACGTCCGATCCGTTTTGCGTTTTGCCTTCTGCGGCGCGCCCGCAAAGCCGAAGAAGCGTCGTGTGAACAACAATAGCGCGGCAGGGGTGTGGACTGGCGGCGCAGAAAGGCAGAAGGGCAGAGAAAACGGAGTGTGCGGCGGGTTCGGCTGGGCTTTCAGGCTTTGCGGCGATCGTGTTGTGGTCGTGGTGATGCGAAAGAAGCCAAAACGACGAACAAGGGAACAGGGGTCAGGCAGCCACGCCGGATCAGGGGTGTGGGGGGGGGGGGGGGGCGTCGCTTGCGGGCGATGCGTACGACATACTGCGTCGGGAGGAAAGAGCGAGTGCAAAGCGCCCAAAAGAGGGCAGCGAGGGCAGGAACCAGGGGCAGGGGTGCGCTAGCGCTTGCAAAGAGGTCAGGCCGCCCCAACACAGTTCCCTGCGCAACCGCCGCGCTGGCGCTCATGTGCTCGACAGCCTTCACCGCACATACGGAGGACGCATGGCGCATTGGCGACGGTTTGACCGTTTCGTTCTGGCGACCGTTTCGGCCTTATTTTGGAGAGCCTTGCGATGCACCTAAAAGTCGTCCCGGCCTGCGGCTGAGCTCCTTCCCTACAGAAAGTCCTTTAGTCCTGCTAGTCCTTCCTTCCTTCCAGTCCTTCCTTGCCCTGTATCGTATCCCGCGCCTGCCGTTTGTACGTTTGTATCGTGCCTTCCTTGTGCGCTGGCATCGTGGCCGCGTTTTTGGGCCGCATCGTGCAGCTGTTTTCGGCCGTGTTGTGGGCCGCGGCGGGGAGTTGTCGTCCTTCGTCTTTCATGTACTTCTTTACGTCTGCCATGCCCTGCCTCTGTTGGGCCTGGCGCAAACACGAACATGTTGGTATTTTGGTGGCTTGCGACTCGGCCCTTTTACGCCGCTGCTCTCTTGCAGTTTCTCCGTAGTTCGTTCCTGCCGCCGGCTGGGCAATAACCGGCGTGAAATCATGCCAAAAAAGACAAAAAGAAGACAAAAAGAAGACAAAAAGAAGACAAAAAGAAGACAAAAAAGACGACAAACTTAGAAAACCAATAGAGCAGTGCAGTTGGTCGCTAGTTCCTTTTTTCAATCTTTATTCTCTATTTTGGGAATAATATAACATTTATTGCCGGGAAACCGTCGGTATTGGGCCTTGTAGACTAACCAACGTATCACAGAATGCAAAGACAGACACCAATAGTCACACTTCATACCTATGCGTAATAGGCCATCATCTTATCGTGTTGCAGCCTTCTCAGTTTTATTTACTTTGCGAGACGATCCTGCGGCGCATTATGCATCAAAGACCTCATTCCATTCATTTCAGGCGCATTGGGGTCCCCTGCGAAATGGAAGAACCCGTTCCATACTTTCGTAGCAAAATGTGTCTGTAATTACAGAATACATTGTTTAAAATGCCGAAATACCTTAAATGCTAAACAGGGGTGACGGTTGGCTTGGTCGCCGCCTGGAAAGTGGTCCAGGCGCAATTTCCGCCAATTTCTCTTGCTTCCAGGGGTGGTTCCGAGCATGGCAACCCAAGACCTACCTAGCCCGCTTCTTGCGGCTCTTTTGTTTCTCCTGTAAATCGCACACAGTAGTTGTTTAACGAAAGTCTCGTCTCATTTTACAGAAGATGACGTACTAACATAATCTTACATCGTACAATCCATTCAGCTGTCGTCGACCGTTGGGGGCGCAGGGCAATAGGACTAAAATAAAAATCGGGACCCTGAGCAACAAAATAAAAGGACCTGGGTCTGGAAATTACACTGCAGATATTGACCCAGGCACAGGGTCTCGAAAACCCAACAAAAAAAGGACCTGGCGTTTTGCGGCCTTTCAGTTTTTCTAGAGCGTTCTAGCTGCGGATATTAATTAAAGTAAAGCCATTTGAGCGCAGGGAGGAAAGGGGGCCGCTCGACTGGAATCGAAAGGGGCAAGGCCACAGGGCAAAGGAGCAGAGGCGCAAACGCGAGTTAAAGGGGACACGGAAGACGGGAGAATACAGTGTAAATACAACATACAATGTTCGCAGTAGGATTTTGTCAACGTTGAGCCGCGCCGCAAAAGGCAGGCACGGAGAAAGAGGCACGGCAGAGTAGTGCAAGGATCGCAAGGCAGGTGCCGAGGGGCACGGAGGGACACGAATAGACAACAGGAGGAAGGAGGAAGGAGGAAGGAGGAAGGCACGGGAAGGCAGCGGCCGAAGAGGCGGGGCGACAAAACAGGCAGGCACGAGGCAGTGCCAACAGATGTCACCAAAAACATCGACAAACTGAGGACTTTGTACTGCCGAGACACGATGCGAAGATGACAACTAACAAGACAGCAGACAGACAACGAATCCCAACACGCCGTCCTGCCGTGTGCCGTGTGACGTGACCGACGGCATCGAGAATATAGGCGGGCCTCATGCACCGGGCGCAGGACATCGTATTACATATTCTGTACAGAATAACAGAATACGGACCCCACGGCGCACGCCAAGACCTTTGGTTGGCGACATTTTTCGTGTTCTGGGACGGAGGCTTCGTCTGGTCTTACTTTCGTCGACAACATGATAGTCCCTCTGACCACCTCCTGTCGCGCTCGTGTCACTTGGCGTTTTTGTGTTTCTTGGTCTTAACTTAGGATCGTAGCACGTTAGTTTCCTTCTCTGCGGTTTCTAGCGTGGAAGCCGAAAGGAAGGCGCGGAAAATGTTTAAAAAAGAAGGAAAGAAAGAAAAAACATAACCCAAGTGGACCCTGAAATCTTACTTGACCCTCAACGTTTCTTCTTCCTCATCCACGACCCTTGGCAACATGTAATCTCACGATCCGAGTTGGGAAAAGCCCATTTTGTGTCGTACATGTGTATTGGAAGAAAAAAAGTCAGAATGGCAAAATAGGAAAGAGACCGACATCCACAGACACCGAAGCCGACCACAGACGGACGGCCAGGCCAACAGGCCCGGAAGTGCCGTCAAAACTGCCCAACAACGCATGCCCAACATGCCACGTTTCCCAGCTGGCCCGCCGCCGCCTCCTTGCGTCGGAGCTATTTCACGCAGTCTCATTCGAGACGGCAAAAAATACGACATCAAAAAGGTAGTGACCCATGCTTCCTCCAGTCTGTCGCTCGCGTCATTTCTGTGCACAACTTTTTGGCTTGTGATCAACGACGTAGGTAGTATGGAGCAGTGGCGGACCGACACCGGGGCTGTGGTTCCTCTTGTGGACACGACGGAGGGGCCAAACCAGAGGAGGCGGAAATTGAACCAGTGCTGGGAAAAAGCAGGAAGACCTAATCTTGTCGTTCCACGATGCAAATACGGTGAAGGAAACAAAGGAGAAAGCAACCAAAAAAAAAAAAAAACAACACAAAAACAATGCATACCAGACCCAACAGAGTTAGGCAGCACCGACTCAACGGACGAACCCGGAATGCAAACGCAACGGTTGAAATGTTTTGTTGTCATGAACAATCACCGTATTGTTTGTTGCAAGTATATCGTACTGACATATTTGCGCACTGACGTTCTGTCCTCGTGCCTGTCGATCCCCTTATCCCGTTATTTGTCTTGGGCAAGGGACCGTTGGAGATTCGCAGCCCCTAATGATGAATAATGAACAGAAATAAAAATAAACGGCTCCTTTACTTCCTTTATTCCCCGTTGTTCCCTTGGTCTGATGTGATGATGTGAGAAAACAAAATCTCTGATGCTTGTCTGTCGCCGGCTGATTGACTGCCGGCTGTCGCGAATACGACATTGCCCCCCTCAGCTACCGACTTTGCAACCACTGCTCTCTCTGTGTCGCGCTCTCGGCGCTACCAATGTGCAATGCGGTCATGTGTGGGCAAATCCCCTTGCGTGAAACGGTCACCCCCAAGACGTACTTCGCACACGCCTCAGCGGTGAGATCCAGATCACGTTGCCCCTGTTTGGTTGTTCCCCTGCCGAAGCCAAAAAAGGCGGACGTATGAAAGAGACGAGGCGACTTACGGTGAGCCGCAGGTGTGCGTCGTATCTACGGAGATGGAGGCGTGTTGAGTCAACAGCCAAGAACAGATCGCCGGAGGCCAAACGACGTCTGCGTGGTCAGGTGGTGAACCGTTCGTACGTCGTAATTGCTCCGTACAACCTGCAACATACAACATACATGGTCGATGTTTTACACGAGTCGCGGACAGCCTAGTCTCGGGTCACGGGAGCTCTTGCAGATGGGGAATCGTAAAATGCCATGCATGCATGCAAAATGAAAGAAACGGAGGCCATGGAGCCTCTTTTTTCTTTCTCTTTCCATTCTTCTTTTTCTTCTTTTCTTCCTCCTTCTTTTTCTTCCTCCTTTCGTCTTCACAACTGGGCACCCGATGTAACCCTTTGCGGGCCCGCACAAGG